ATGGGTTAAGTATATGGGTGAAAAGTATGCGCACGAAGAGTTTCTTGGTGAAGAGTCTCGGGGTGAAAAGAATATGGGTGAAAACTATGTGCAAGAAGAGTTTCTGGGTAAAGAGTCTCTGGGTGAAGAGTCTGTGCAAGAAGAGTTTCTGGGTGAAGAGTCTCTGGGTGAAAACTATGTACAAGAAGAGTTTCTGGATGAAGAGTCTCTGGATGAAAAGTATATGGGTGAAAAGTATATGGGTGAAAAGTATGTGCAAGAAGAGTTTCTGGGTGAAGAGTCTCTGGGTTAAAAGTATATGGGTGAAAAGTATGTGCAAGAAGAGTTTCTGGGTGAAGAGTCTCTGGGTGAAAAGTATATGGGTGAAAAGTATGTGCAAGAAGAGTTTCTGGGTGAAGAGTCTCTGGGTGAAAAGTATATAGGTGAAAAGTATGTGCAAGAAGAGTCTCTGGGTGAAGAGTCTCTGGGTGAAAAGTATATGGGTGAAAACTATGTGCAAGAAGAGTTTCTGGATGAAGAGTCTCTGGATGAAAAGTATCTGGGTAAAGAGTCTCTGGGTGAAAAGTATATCGGTGAAATGTCTGTACAAGAAGAGTTTCTGGGTGAAGAGTCTCTGGGTGAAGAGTATATGGGTGAAATGTTTGTGCAAGAAGAGTTCCTGGGTGAAGAGTCTCTGGGTGAAAAGTATATGGGTGAAAAGTATGTGCAAGAAGAGTTTCTGGGTGAAGAGTCTGCGGGTGAAAAGTTTATGGGTGAAAAGTATGTGCAAGAAGAGTTTCTGGGTGAAGAGTCTGTGGGTGAAAAGTATATGGGTGAAAAGTATGTGCAAGAAGAGTTTCTGGGTGAAGAGTCTCTGGGTGAAAAGTATATAGGTGAAAAGTATGTGCAAGAAGAGTCTCTGGGTGAAGAGTCTCTGGGTGAAAAGTATATGGGTGAAAACTATGTGCAAGAAGAGTTTCTGGATGAAGAGTCTCTGGATGAAAAGTATATTGGTAAAAAGTATGTGCAAGAAGAGTTTCTGGATGAAGAGTCTCTGGATGAAAAGTATCTGGGTGAAAAGTATATGGGTGAAAAGTATGTGCCAGAAGGGTTTCTGGGTGAAGAGTCTCTGGGTGAAAAGTATATGGGTGAAAAGTATGTGCAAGAAGAGTCTCTGGGTGAAAAGTATATGGGTGAAAAGTCCGTGCAAGAAGAGTTTCTGGATGAAGAGTGTCTGGATGAAAAGTATCTGGGTGAAAAGTATATTGGTGAAAAGTATGTGAAAGAAGAGTTTCTGGGTGAAAAGTATGTGCAAGAAGAGTTCCTGGGTGAAGAGTCTGGGTGAAAAGTATATGGGTGAACAGTATGTGCAAGAAGAGTCTCTTGGTGAAAAGTATATGAGTGAAAAGTATGTGCAAGAAGAGTTTCTGGGTGAAGAGTCTAGGGGTGAAAAGTATATTGGTGAAAAGTTTGTGCAAGAAGAGTTTCTGGGTGAAAAGTCTCTGGGTGAAAAGTATATTGGCGAAAAGTATGTGCAAGAAGAGTTTCTGGGTGAAGAGTCTCTGGGCGAAAAGTATATGAGTGAAAAGTATGTGCAAGAAGAGTTTCTGGGTGAAGAGTCTCTGGGTGAAAAGTATATGAGTGAAAAGTATGTGCAAGAAGAGTTTCTGGGTGAAGAGTCTCTGGGTGAAAAGTATATGGTTGAAAAGTCTGTGCAAGAAGAGTTTCTGGGTGAAAAGTCTGTGCAATAAGAGTTTCTGGGTGAAGAGTCTCTGGGTGCAAAGTATATGGGTGAAAAGTCTGTGCAATAAGAGTTTCTGGGTGAAGAGTCTCTGGGTGCAAAGTATATGGGTGAAAAGCATGTGCAAGAAGAGTTTCTGGGTGAAGAGTCTCTGGGTGAAAAGTATGTGGGTGAAAAGTATGTGCAAGAATAGTTTTTGGGTGAAGAGTCTCTAGACTCTAGATGAAAAGTATATGGGTGAAAAGCATGTGCAAGAAGAGTTTCTAGGTAAAGAGTCTCTGGGTGAAGGGGTATTGGTGAAAAGTATGTGCAAGAAGAGTTTCTGGGTGAAGAATCTCTGGGTGAAAAGTATATGGATGAAAAGTATGTGCAAGAAGAGTTTCTGGGTAAAGGGTCTCTGGATGAAAAATGTATGCAAGAAAAGTTTCTGGGTGAAGAGTCTCTGGGTGAAAAGTATGTGGGTGTGAAAAGTATGTGAAAGAAGAGTTTCTGGGTGAAAAGTATGTGCAAGAAGAGTTTCTGGGTGAAGAGTCTGTGTGAAAAATATATGAGTGAACAGTATGTGCAAGAAGAGTTTCTGGGTGAAGAGTTTCTGGGTGAAAAGTATATGGGTGAAAAGTATGTGCAAGAAGAGTTTCTTGGTCGTCAAGAGTCTATGGGTGAAAATATGTGGATGAAAAGTATTTGTAAGAAGAGTTTCTGGGTGAAGAGTCTCTGGGTGCAAAGTATATTGGTGAAAAGTATGTGAAAGAAGAGCTTCTGGGTGAAAAGTATGTGCAAGAAGAGTTTCTGGGTGAAGAGTCTGGGTGAAAAGTATATGGGTGAACAGTATGTGCAAGAAGAGTTTCTGGGTGAAAAGTATATTGGTAAAAAGTATGTGCAAGAAGGGTTTCTGGGTGAAGAGTCTCTGGGTGAAAAGTATGTGGGTGAAAAGTAGTTGCAAGAAGAGTTTCTGGGTGAAGAGTCTATGGGTGAAAATATGTGGGTGAAAAGTATTTGTAAGAAGAGTTTCTGGGTGAAGAGTCTCTGGGTGAAAAGTATATTGGTGAAAATATGTGCAAGAAGAGTTTCTGGGTGAAAAGTCTGTGCAAGAAGAGTTTCTGGGTGAAGAGTCTCTGGGTGAAAAGTATATGGGTGAAAAGTATGTGCAAGAAGAGTTTCTGGGTGAAAAGTCTCTGGGTGAAAAGTATTGGGGAACATAGGGTTAGATGGGATGCTGGCTTTCGCTCCCCCCTTCTCAGGTTTCTTCTTTATTTGTTTCTTTGTTTGTTTCTTTCTTTCTTTGTTTGTTTGTTTGCTTCTTTGTTTGTTTCTTTGTTTGTTTCTTTGTTTGTTTCTTTGTTTGTTTCTTGGTCTGTTTCTTGGTTTGTTTCTTTGTTTGTTTCTTTGTTTGTTTCTTTGTTTGTTTCTTTGTTTGTTTCTTTGTTTGTGTCTTTGTTTGTGTCTTTGTTTGTTTCTTTGTTTGTTTCCTTCTTTCCTTCTTTCTTTGTTTGTTTGTTTGTTTCTTTGTTTGTTTCTTTGTTTGTTTCTTTGTTTGTTTCTTTGTTTGTTTCTTTGTTTGTTTCTTTGTTTGTTTGTTTGGTTGTTTGTTTGGTGCTTTCTTTGGTTCTTTGTTTCTTTGTTTGTTTCTTTCTTTCTTTCTTTGTTTGTTTCCTTCTTTGTTTGTTTCTTTGTTTCTTTGTGTGTTTCTTTGTTTGTTTCTTTTTTTTTCTTTGTTTGTTTCTGTGTTTCTTTATTTGTTTCTTTCTTTGTTTCTTTCTTTGTTTGTTTCTTTGTTTGTTTCTTTGTTTGTTTCTTTGTTTGTTTCTTTGTTTGTTTCTTTGTTTGTTTCTTTGTGTGTTTCTTTGTTTGTTTCTTTGTTTGTTTCTTTGTGTGTTTCTTTGTTTGTTTCTTTTTGTTTGTTTCTTTGTTTGTTTGTTTCTTTGTTTCTATGTTTCTTTGTTTGTTTCTTTGTTTCTTTGTGTCTTTCTTTGTTTGTTTGTTCGTTTGTGTTTGTTTGTTTGTTTGTGTTTGTTTGTTTGTTAGTTTGTGTTTGTTTGTTTGTGTGTTTGTTTGTTTGTTTGTTTGTGTGTTTGTGTGTTTGTGTATTTGTGTGTTTGTGTGTTTGTGTGTTTGTTGGTTTGTTGGTTTGTTGGTTTGTTTGTTGGTTTGTTGGTTTGTTTGATTGTTTGTTTGTAATATATACGTATGTATTATAGTCATAAATAAAAAATATTCAAAATATTTGTTATATGTAATATATTTATAGTTCATGTATATTCTAATATATATATATATCAAATTTGTGTTATATATTATATATATAATGAATTTAATATATCTTGAATATGTATATATATTTTTTTATTTAACATTTCTAATTATATATCATAATTAATTTTTACATATATAGACAATATTATATATATGTATATGACATATATTTAATACATAATATATATATATATGTTTTATGCATATATATATTTATATATATATAAACGAGTCGCGGTCAAAATGGTTGAAGACCACTGTAATATTGTAGGACATTTTCTGGGACCATACACGACAGTCCATTAAACTTGGCGTAAACTTAGCAAATAACTGTGGTGCACATGCACCCAGCGGGCAAAACCGATGAGGGAACTTCAACGTGTGGTGCCCTGTTTCCTGCAGTCACCAAATCATTTGGTGTCCAACTCGTTCTCTTTGTCGTTTTGTTTTCGTTTTGGAGGGCTTATTAGCGATAACTTAGCGATAGCCATTTGTTGCATTCGATCCCCTGGCCAAGCCATAGACCCATGTTCTCCAATGTCGGATTTTCCTTTCGCCATGAACCTTAGAAGGAAAAATGAAAGGACATGAATGCAAAATGGAAGGAAAGTGAAAGGAACATAAAGGAATATGAAATGAATATGAAAGGAAACGAATACAATGAAAGGAAAATTAAAGGACAATGACTTGTTGCTGAAGCACCTGAGACCAACAAAACAACTCCTGGATCAATTTCCGAACCTGTTTAGGAATGGATTTTGGTTTCATATTGGATCTCAAACATGCTGATTTCCACATCATCCTGGAAAATGATAGGACCCCCCAAAAGCGACAACCATAACAATACCAACTACTCAGATGTAAAGGATTCTGACGGGGACTCCTGTATAAAAATATGTACATATGACTCATATGACATACAATAGACATATCATGTCATTGGTGTCATTGTCCAGTCAGCTTTGGCAGTGACGATGTGTGACGATGACATCGTGTTGCACCCGACATAACGCGAAAAATTTATGCCGAGGCGTCCACGGTGAGCGCCGCAGACGGCTTGACACAGCCCTCGGAGCAGTCCGTGTTTTGGTGCGACGCCGAGCAGTCGAGATGCAGTCCCAACGCAGCAACGTGTGCCCACGAAGAGAAACAAAGAAAAACGAAGAGCAACAAATCGCTCAAACAGTGCCAAATAAATCTCAGGGGAAGACTGTGTTAGTTTTTTTTGCCGAGGCTCCTGTACACGCTGGTTTGCCACCGTTACAATGGCATGTACCGCGAATACTACGGGCTAGGTGGCCTAAGAGTGATTGATCCGGGTTGCAAAGCATCTCAAAAATCTCAAGAGAGAGAGAGAGAGAGCAGCATTTCTTTGCAGCAAAAGTCAAGTGATTCAGTTGGTGAAACACTAAAAGAATGTGACCCCAGCAGTCCAAGTCAATGTAAGCAAGTCACAACATTTTGAAATTGTGATTGAACTAACATTATATATATATTTTTTTTAGTTTTGTAAGTCTTTGATAGTCTTTGTACAGAATGTGTTGCAAATTTTGATACATGTTACTGTTAACGCATGTTAACGCTTTGAAATCTTTTTGAAGCAATGATGTGGCACATTCTGGCGCCGTGGAGATGCTCCATGATTCTCCAAAATTTCGAGCCGAGGCTCCCCGTGAAACGGGACTCCGACCCCGAGTGCCTCATAGCAGGCTGTGGCGCGATGCAGGTGTGGCGGCATAGCTTCCCGAATGCTGCCCGAAGCAACATGAAGCAACGGTGTCACTGATGTTCGTTTCTGGAACTCTGAAATACCTACGGACCTACTTACTTTGCAAATGCAATTATGTGAGCTCAATATTGTCTATGTTGGATGTTGTTTTTCCGACAAAGTTTGATACAGTATATATTAATATATAATATATATATATATTAGAACAAATTCAGAATTGAACCGGGTGTCAAAACGGTGTCGCTCCAGGATGTGAATCTGTTGGAATGTTGCGTGGCATACCATGAGCGCGATCTGTTTTTTCGCTTCTTGGTGGCACTGTTCGTGTTGAGAAAATTCATGTTGTCATAAATACACAGCCAATGAGGCGAAAATTCTGCATTTGTGAGAGGTTCTTTTTCTAGTGATTTCTTCAGAAAGGTAGGAGTACGTCGGATCTTTTTCCTGGTGGCCCATTCCAAGAACAGGCTTTCTAGGCCTGGCGATTGGGCCGGAACGGCCGGAACAGCAGGTTTCAAAGAAAATCAAAAAAACACAATAAAGATCATCCAGGATATGGCTCAACAAGAAATCAGTTTCATCCAGGATCTAGAAGATGCTGTGTAAACCAACCAGTTTCTCAACACAGGATCTTTTAAATCAGGTTTCCGGCCCTCACTGGTTTGAGCATTGAATTTTTGAATGATTATTTTGATGAGGGTTAGTTAGGCTTCACTGAGTTTAGGCATGGTAGGGTCCGGAACAAATTTGTGTGCTGATCATATGATGATAATGATCACACTCTTGATTGGCTGAACAAAAGCGGCAGTCTTTTGTGCTGGGCTGAGGTATGAACGCTTTGGGGTTCGAGTTGTCGACCATCTTTTACGGCGCTTTCATGAGGTGCCGCATTTAGGCTGTTTTCTATACTTTTGAAACCGTCGGGAAACGGGTTTAGGAAAGGCTTGGTCAGAGATATAGTACAGATTCTTGTGCCCTTGATACAAATGTAAACTGCAAAACAAAGAACGCAATTTTGAGCTGCCAACCTCTGGACCCACACTCGCAAATCGCGCAACTCCTCGAAACACACCCAGAGCCACGCACCATGCCACTTCGATCCACTTCGTCAGTTGGAATGAGGTGGTATGCGACTTTGATGCCAACTGCCACAGTGTTCCGGTTCTGGGATGCTCTCCTCTTCCAGTCCACCAATCCAAAGACACAGTCCTTGGCTGGGATGCCCGGGACGGATGCCCGGGACGGAGTGCCCAGGGCGTTCTGGTGTTGCTGCGAAGTTGATCAGATTTAAACCCCAAAGACATTCAATTTGCATTGCAATGATCGATGTTTCACCAACCCAGGGGATCCCAGGGGCGTCCCACTTGCAGACAGCAGTCCAAACAGTCTAAACTGTCTTCAGGGTCGCATGTGAGGCCCAAGCTGATACACTGCTGCAAGCGTAAACCTCCTGCGGAGTTGCTTTGTTGGCTAAAAGTAAAGAGCTTCTACTCCAGTTTGCATCTGCCAGAGTACAAGAAAGTAATGGTGAACCCCAAGAATGAATGATAGATCCAACTGAAGTAGATGATCAGCAGTTGCCATGCTTGAAGCACCCGCCGAAACATGATGTTTGAATCATTTTGAATCCAGCATCGAACGTCTTTCAATGATTTTCTGCGAATCCTTAGGGTGGCCGCGACTACTTGATCAACTTGGCCTTTGCCACCCTGCAAGTCAAGCGAAATGAGCTCATGGAATGCGAGAGCGCTGCAGAAATGCCACTTAGCTTTAAACTTTAAACTGATCGTATCTGATCGTTGTGATTTGCAGAAAGGTTTTAAGCCACCATGTTTTAATTGCTGTTTCCCACATGTTTGTTCCAGGGCCGGAATGAGTCAATCCAGAATTGTCTGGAACATCTGGAACCAGATTCCATGGGTGCGGCGTTTTGAGGAAGGGCGTGGTGCTGGGTTTCCTCGGTTCTTTGCGACTCAGACCGCAGCGAAGGGCCTTCATAAAGCACTTGCTGTGAATATGATCAGTTATGATAAGACTTTGAAAGCACTTTGATGTCTTTGTGCAGTGTGTTTTGTAATTGAAATTGTATCACTTGCAACTTGCATCACTTGCTTTCATGGTCAGGTACGACACTACAACTGTGATTGATCTCGTTCATGCAGCAGATTTGTACCTCTGGGGTGGTGCTGGCTTCAGCAGCGGCAAAGTGTCGTACCTGTGGACCCAAAGAGATGAGATGTTCAAAGGCCCGTGTCGGGAGGTCACTGGGTGAACTGGAAGAACTGTATGTAAGATTATGTAAGAAAATATAAGAAGTAACATGAAGTAACTAAGTAAAAAGTGTGTTGAACCATGGTACCCGATTCTCGCAGGGAAAGCAATCCAATAGCTGCAGCCATGGAACGCATCGCCATTTTTGCTGAAATGCCATGAACAACGGTGTCTTTTATGTCTGCATCCCGAGAGGCATCAACCAGACAACAAAGTGGCAGAACCAGATCCTTCATCGACTTGCTTTTGAAGGGCAAGTCAGGCTGCGCAGCCTGTGCACAGTGTCGTCATGTTTCGTCCAATGAGTTCCCGGGATGGACTGTGGATCGGTTGTTTTTCAACATGGGCCAATCAGTAGATCGTGGTTCTCATGGGAGTATGCCAAAGTCATCACTATGCCGTAGTCATCACTACAGCAACAATTGTAATGTTGGTTCGTGTGTTCCCAATAGCATGTTTGCCACTATCTACAAGTTTTACGTGGTTTTACAGTTTTACTATGTTTTACTGCTTCTTACGCAATCTATCAAACTGAGCTGTGGCAAGAAAGGAGTGTCGCAGGGTACCTGTCAGGCCACCAAAACACCCGAGTGCCGCGACCCGAGAACGCCTTGAATCAGTGACACCAAATCTCACTATTCTCACTGTGCTGCAGTGCCCTTGTCAACACATTTCAGGAGCAATTTGCTGGTGTCACCACCAAACAGTTGGTGCAGGAGGCATGGGAAAGATGACGAAATGTCGCGACGTAACGACACCAGCCGCATTTGGAACCTATGCTGTGATAAAGGTGATGACACAGTTCTGAACTTTGAAATACTTTGACATGTATATAGATATATAAGTATATATATATATATATGAATATGTGATTGGAATGCAGGCGATATGAATCATCCATGTATAGTATGCCAGTACGCTCTTGCTCACGCTGCCGTGGCTCAAGGGCCCCTCGCGGCTCAAGATCCGCTACTCTCTGCGATGGCGTAAAAGGGAGATCGTGCCAAGCTGCAATTGAGGACATTGTCATCTATAAGACCATATCCGAGCTCAACTACAAGTAAGGGAAGGGTACCATAACCCATTCACAGGTTATCAGCCGGTATACGCTCTAACTGGGCGTACGGTGGTCCCACTTTTACATTGTCCTCTTCGGCATCCCGGTCCTCCTGCCCTTCTACAAGTCACAGACTTGCACTAAACGGAGGTGGACTGATTGCAAGAAGATGTCGCAGAAGAACCAGTCGAGCAGCAACGCCACGAACTTTACCTTCGGGGCGAATGCAGCTCCGGCTCCGGCGATCAATGATACGCCTGGATCTCAAGAGAGCGGCGGCGGCGGTACAGTCTCGTACCGAGCACCTGGAAGTGGAGCATCTACAAATAGCTTCACAGTGGTCACTCAAGCTGATTCAGTTCGAGGAAGTGCCAATAGATCGACGTCGGCAAGATCTCCTCGCGCACCAAGGTCTCGCGCTATGGAAGGTGGCGGCAACGGTGGCCGGAGCCCTTCGGGCACGGTCACGCGGGAGGATGAGGTGGGCAAACCTGCTACCTCATCCAAACGCAAGTCATCGACCAGCGCTACGAGGAACGAGAGTGAGGCACGCCTACGACGTCAACTTCAGCACAACACCGAGAAGCTGGAAAGGAGTGAACGGGCAAGGACTGAACTGGAAAATAGATTGATTTTGTATCAAGATGTTCTTGCACACCGAGATCAGATGATTAACAATGTAGAGGTCTATTCACAACAACACCATGAAGAATATCAGGAACATGTCAATTCAGAGATGGAATTCATGAGAAGATCCCTCATCAATGCATACAACATACTTGACGAACAATCAACCGCCCTAGCTGAGGCGCATCTCATGGATGAAGGCTCAACTCAAAGGATCATCGAGCTGGAAAGACGTGGGCAACTCGCTGAAGCAGGTGCGGCCCATATTGTTCAAGAGAGTGTGGCTATGAGAGGGAGATATCTTACTGAATTGGAGAACGCATCACAACTCATCAAGAATGGGAAAACCATCCAGCCAGATTCTTGAGATACATCCAAAGGGACCGATGCTTGTCTCAAGTAGTGATTGATGAAATGCGAGGCTCATGAACTATAATGACATTTGATGTACTATAATATGTTGTCCACACTTTCAAACCTTGCCATCCTAGGACTGATCCCTGTGGCATTCCACATAGACGGGGTGGAATTCTATGCGAACACGGAACACTATGTGTGGAGCCTTCAATCCGTTTTTACCACAGGGGAGGCTGTTGGTCCAAAACATTCTAAACCATCTTGAAATACAGACAGAAAGATAAAACCTAATTGTGAAAGCCTATGGATCCAATTTGTTGGATAATCATGTACTTTCTTATCCCTGGTATATGCTGGATTTCGGGATAGGTTCATCAACAACTCTCTCATTGCAAGAAGGTTTGCCCCTGTTTTGGTTTTTCACTTGCAGGTATGGGATGTCAAGTTCCCAATTTGCATCGTCCCACATTCCTGGATGGTCAAAAAATCTGTTGGCAACTTAGATTCATTTATGGAATGGCCTATGGTTGCTGCATGCATGGGGATCCCCAATATCGCAGGGTCAAAGCAATCGTTGCCGGCTACTTAGGTGAAAGAAGCTATGCACGCCACAGTGGCGCGAGTCACTACCATATGGTGAGGTGCTGCATGGCACCCGGGGGGAACACGCTGGCAAAACTCTAGCTTCAGGATACCACTTTGCTTACTTCGGTTTCAAAGCCGATGCAAAAGCACGAAAAGAATGTCACCGCTTTGACCGCACCTATGGACACAACAAGATCTGTGAATGCTGTTTTGCAGAACGTCCGAACAAAGATGGAGATCCCTTACTCACCTTCAAGAACTTCTATCCCAATGCGGCCCATATGATGACAGAGTTGTCCCATTCTGAATACCTTCAATCTTCAGCTACGCATTCGCCTTGGGAAAACATGCCTGGTTTTCATGTGAAATCATGCTTCCGAGATCCTATGCATACAATTTTCTTGGGAACTGCAAAGGAGATCATAGCCTCATGTTTGGGATATTGGTGCCGGAATGGCTATATCCTTGGAAATGATTTACATGAACAGCTACGAGCAATTTCCAGAAAGCAAAAGGAAGATTGCAAAGCTGCTGGCCTACATGGGACTTTCAAAGCGTACACTCCATCCAACACTGGTTTGGACCCTGCAAATCAATTCCCTGAACTGGGGTCCAGTTTCAAAGCTGCATCTGTCAAAACGTCGCTGTGGTTTCATGCGAAGCTAGCTGGTGAAATCTACGCAGAGAAACCAGAGGACACCTGGTTTGGATGTCAACAAAAAACATTTAGAACGCTATTTCCCGTTTTTTGTTTCATTTTTGTTTGGTGAACAGAAAAGGGGTCAGCGCTATTGATTGCCCTGCTCAGACCGCAGGATGAGATGCTTCAACTGATTGAAGTATCCATTTGGAGCATATCCAGAGCTTTGTCTGTGATGGACCACAATGACATGATCATGTGGAAACGAGATGCCCAGGCAGGGTTCTTACAAATAACCAATGTACCGTTAGAACCAAGCGCAATATACTAGTATAATCTTAGAGCCGATGAGTCAAAGGCAGTGCGCGACATGTTTCCCCTGTGCAGTGTTTGTGGGCCCAAACTGTAACTGTGTGGCGTGCATTTTTTTCATCACCCTCGCGCAGGCTTTGAACTACTTTGTGACCTTACACCTGCAGTGTTGGCAGCACTTAGGTCTAGATGTCAAAATGATGGCGTCTACCTTTTTCGCTTGCGTCCAAAGACGCATTACCTTCACCACATAGGGCGTGACGCAGAGAGAACACTTCTCAACCCACGCCTGCTCACATCGTGTTTTTACGATGAAAGTTATTTGGGTCATATCAAAGGTATTGCGAAGCAATGCCATTCAGGCACAATGATTAGGGAAAGGTTCTGGCAGAGATATTTCCTATTTTTGTCTCTGCGTTTCCATCAGCGCCAAACCAACAGCCGCTGAGACTTGGGGTCCCGGCAAAAAATCCAAAGGCGGGTGCTCCACAGTGCCCGGCGGCTGGAGCTCAAGCTCCATGGGGCGACAGGGAAGCCGACAGATAGGTAGGTATATGTCTATCTGTCTATGCATATGTATAATTTATTTATATATATATATAGATATATATATATATAGATTTATATTATTTATATTTACCATGTATGTAAAGAAACATGTATTTATAGTCAACTCCTGTATGTTGATTTCAAAACTGGGAATGTGCACAGGTTGCCAGATTTTTGGCCCTTTCATCCATTCCTGTTACCAAAATGAGTGGATAGACCTTGTTGTTCAAAAAATCACATCTATATATCTATATGATCTACATGAAACGGGTATAGCCAGAAATTTGGTTTCACTCACCTCATCTGCCAAATTTGAGAGATAAACAAATGCGTGTTTTTTCCCCATGAGCCAGCTGGTTTGTCAATACCGCATCATGTGTTTGGGTTCCATCCATGCCAGCCAAAAGGATGACAAAAAAACATATGTCCATTTCTTGTTGGGTTTTTTGGGATATCGGAATGCCACATCAATTTGTCTGAGTGGATGCCAGCTGCAAAAACAAAAGCAGGCCTGAAGAATGCCACATCATTATCTAGGGTCGCCCAGTGTTACAGACAGGCCTTAAAATATTTCAAGGGTTCCCGGGATGGGGAAAAGTGGGTGCACACATACATGCATGCGCAGAAGAGAAAGAAAGAGAGAGAGAGAGAGAGAAAGAGAGAGAGAGAGAGCAAAAAAAAGAAAGAAAGAAAGCAAGAAAGCAAGACAGCAAGAAAGCAAGCAAGCAAGCAAGAAAGAAAGAAAGAAAGAAAGAGACGGGGAGAGAGAGAGAGGGAGAGAAAGAGAGAGAGAGAGAAGAGACAGAGA